TTATGACCCTATCCTCCAAAGCAGTTGCAGCTTTGTATCATCTGCAAATGTAATAAGCATATGCTCTATGTCAATATCTAAATAGGCTGAACAGAACTAGTCCCAAAACATCCCTGCGGAACCCAACTTATGCGCTTCCAGCATGATTGTGAACCGTTAACTCCTCTCTTGAGAACAGTTATCCAGCCAGTTATGCATCCACCTTATAGTAGCCCCATCTAAGTTGTATTTGACTAGTTTATTGTTAAGAAGGTCATGCAAAACTGTATTAAATGACTTATCAAAGTTAGGTATACCTCATTCACCATTTATCCCTTATCTACAAGACTTGTTATCCTACCAAAGAAAGCTATCAGATTGGTTTGACATTATTTGTTCTTTACAAATTAATGCTGGCTGTTACCTATCACCCTATTATCTACCAGGTGCTTGCAGATGATTTCCTTAATTACTTGCTCCATTATCTTTCCTGGTACAGAAATTAAACTGACTAATCTGTAGTTTCCTGGGTTGTTCTTATTTCCCTTTTTATAGATGGGCACTATATTTACCCTTTTCCAGGCTTCTGGAATCTCTCGTCTTCCATGATTTTTCCCAAAGATGATAGCTAAAGGCTCAGATACCTCTTCTATCAGCTGCCTGAGTATTCTAGGATGCATGTCATCAAGCCTTGGTGACTTGCAGACATCTAACTTTTCTAAGTAATTGTTAACTTGTTCTTTTTTTATATTTTATCTTCTAAACCTGCCCTATTCTTACTAGCATTCACTATGTTAGGCATTCCTTCATCATCAGACTTCTTGGTGAAGACCATAACAAAGAAGTCATTTAGCATCTGTGCCATTTCCAAGTTCCCTGTTATTGTTTCTCCCTCCCCACTGAGAAATGGGCCCATCTTGTCCTTGGTCTTCCTCTTATTTTAATATATTTATAGAACGTCTTCTTGTTACCCTTTATGTCTGTAAGCTAGTTTGAACTCATTTTGTGCCTTTGCTTTTCTAATCTTGCCACTGCATATCTGTATTTGCTTATATTCATCCTTTGTAATTTTGTCCTAGTTTCCACTTTTTATATGACTCCTTTCTGAGCTCTTGTTGGGCTCAGATGAACTTAGCTATAAAAGAAAATGTGAAGAACCCAGTGGCTATGGCATAAGTGAACTGATGATGAACTATTAAGTTTCCCAGCTGCATACATAGCAACTGAATAGAGAATGCTGTGCACACAGAAAATCAAGGTATCAGATGGCAGCAATGCAAGAGTAGAGGGAGCTAGAGTGAAAAGAGAATTTCCTAGAGAGCCTTCATATACCTCCCAATGGTACCTTCTTAAAGGAGGACAACAATAATTTTAGACCTAGATTTAAACAACAGGAACGGGACAAGATCCAACTTAATTTATTTAAGTTGGCAATGCTGTATCATGAAGAAGAATGGGTAGAGTATTTCATTTGTGCTGCAGGAGTCATCCCATCATTATTCAGTGCTTCCAATGCTATTTTAGCACCTCCTATGCTGGACGTTTGACACACATCAAGGCCTTGGGAATTTTATTATGAAAGTGTTTATGTTACATACCAGCACTGCCTACTGACTCTTTGTGAGATTCTGATTCAAACAGGTCTACGCTATAGAAATCCCTCACCTAGCTACTATTTCAGAAGTTGAGAGGGAGAGGCATGTGAGACTCCTGAGCATAGAAAAAAGAATGGTCTGGTGGTTAGGGAGCAAAGGCTGGGACTGGGAAATTCCAAGGTTCCAATGCCTCTCTGGCCACAGACTGTGCATGACTCAGCCACATAGTTTAGCATAGAAACAGTGATGTGCAGCTATGCAGCATTTTAAGTCAAGACACTATCTACACAGACAGAAGGCCAGTCAGCCTGAGTACTCCACTTCCTGAGAGGCAATAGCTAGGTTGATGGGAGAATTCTCCCATGGATCTAGCACAGTCCACACTGGAGATCAGGTCCATTTAACTGAGTCGATTAAAGGAATGGATTTTTCACACCCTGAGTGACAGAGAGATATACTAACCTAATTTTCCGGAGTGTTGACCATGTCTGTGTAACTTAGGAACCTAACTTTCCGGAAGAATGACTTCTCGTGGCTTGCTCACAACACTCCTGTTAATGCATCCTAGAATCATGTTTACTTTTTTTGCAACAGCGTCACATTGACTCCTCATAAGAGCGGAAGAATGACTTCTCGTGGCTTGCTCACAACACTCCTGTTAATGCATCCTAGAATCATGTTTACTTTTTTTGCAACAGCGTCACATTGACTCCTCATATTTAGCCTGTGATCCACTATGTGTGGCCCCCAACTGAGACACCGCAGCCCCATGGGGAGAGGGGGAGAGACAGGGTACACTGAGGTGCAGGACTCCCCATAACCCAGAGTTACTCTTCTGGGGTTAGTGGATTTTATGGACCCCCTTAGGCTCTGGGATGGGGCCAAAAATGTGTAGGAAGGGCTGCCCGTGATGAGTGGGATAGGGATGGGGGTGCAGGATCTGGGTGGGACGTGGGGTGCAGAAGGGGGTGAGGGTACAAGGTCTGGGTGGGAGCAGGGTAGAAGTAGGGTGTCTGGCCAGGAGCCAGGGTGCAGGGGCTGGCCTCTCTTGAGAACAGTTATCCAGCCAGTTATGCATCCACCTTATAGTAGCCCCATCTAAGTTGTATTTGACTAGTTTATTGTTAAGAAGGTCATGCAAAACTGTATTAAATGACTTATCAAAGTTAGGTATACCTCATTCACCATTTATCCCTTATCTACAAGACTTGTTATCCTACCAAAGAAAGCTATCAGATTGGTTTGACATTATTTGTTCTTTACAAATTAATGCTGGCTGTTACCTATCACCCTATTATCTACCAGGTGCTTGCAGATGATTTCCTTAATTACTTGCTCCATTATCTTTCCTGGTACAGAAATTAAACTGACTAATCTGTAGTTTCCTGGGTTGTTCTTATTTCCCTTTTTATAGATGGGCACTATATTTACCCTTTTCCAGGCTTCTGGAATCTCTCGTCTTCCATGATTTTTCCCAAAGATGATAGCTAAAGGCTCAGATACCTCTTCTATCAGCTGCCTGAGTATTCTAGGATGCATGTCATCAAGCCTTGGTGACTTGCAGACATCTAACTTTTCTAAGTAATTGTTAACTTGTTCTTTTTTTATATTTTATCTTCTAAACCTGCCCTATTCTTACTAGCATTCACTATGTTAGGCATTCCTTCATCATCAGACTTCTTGGTGAAGACCATAACAAAGAAGTCATTTAGCATCTGTGCCATTTCCAAGTTCCCTGTTATTGTTTCTCCCTCCCCACTGAGAAATGGGCCCATCTTGTCCTTGGTCTTCCTCTTATTTTAATATATTTATAGAACGTCTTCTTGTTACCCTTTATGTCTGTAAGCTAGTTTGAACTCATTTTGTGCCTTTGCTTTTCTAATCTTGCCACTGCATATCTGTATTTGCTTATATTCATCCTTTGTAATTTTGTCCTAGTTTCCACTTTTTATATGACTCCTTTCTGAGCTCTTGTTGGGCTCAGATGAACTTAGCTATAAAAGAAAATGTGAAGAACCCAGTGGCTATGGCATAAGTGAACTGATGATGAACTATTAAGTTTCCCAGCTGCATACATAGCAACTGAATAGAGAATGCTGTGCACACAGAAAATCAAGGTATCAGATGGCAGCAATGCAAGAGTAGAGGGAGCTAGAGTGAAAAGAGAATTTCCTAGAGAGCCTTCATATACCTCCCAATGGTACCTTCTTAAAGGAGGACAACAATAATTTTAGACCTAGATTTAAACAACAGGAACGGGACAAGATCCAACTTAATTTATTTAAGTTGGCAATGCTGTATCATGAAGAAGAATGGGTAGAGTATTTCATTTGTGCTGCAGGAGTCATCCCATCATTATTCAGTGCTTCCAATGCTATTTTAGCACCTCCTATGCTGGACGTTTGACACACATCAAGGCCTTGGGAATTTTATTATGAAAGTGTTTATGTTACATACCAGCACTGCCTACTGACTCTTTGTGAGATTCTGATTCAAACAGGTCTACGCTATAGAAATCCCTCACCTAGCTACTATTTCAGAAGTTGAGAGGGAGAGGCATGTGAGACTCCTGAGCATAGAAAAAAGAATGGTCTGGTGGTTAGGGAGCAAAGGCTGGGACTGGGAAATTCCAAGGTTCCAATGCCTCTCTGGCCACAGACTGTGCATGACTCAGCCACATAGTTTAGCATAGAAACAGTGATGTGCAGCTATGCAGCATTTTAAGTCAAGACACTATCTACACAGACAGAAGGCCAGTCAGCCTGAGTACTCCACTTCCTGAGAGGCAATAGCTAGGTTGATGGGAGAATTCTCCCATGGATCTAGCACAGTCCACACTGGAGATCAGGTCCATTTAACTGAGTCGATTAAAGGAATGGATTTTTCACACCCTGAGTGACAGAGAGATATACTAACCTAATTTTCCGGAGTGTTGACCATGTCTGTGTAACTTAGGAACCTAACTTTCCTTACATGGGAAAGTTATGCCAGTTATAACTTCACATATGAATCCTTATCCAGAAAAAGGGTTTTGCTTTCTTCCCAGTTAAGTTTAAACCCCTTACAAAGCAAGACATATTTAATTCATAAAGCCCCTCATATTCTGGAATAAGGATGTTCCCATAGGAAGTCATATTGGTACAGTAGTATTGGTTATTGGGTAGGAGCTTGATCACAGGGACTGAGACATATCTAGGACACAAGTGGCTACTAGGGATTGTTAGCTCATATGTAATTATTATGTGATACCAAGAAACAAAAGCAAAATTTCTTAGGCCTTATTTCACCTAAGGCCTCTTTGCATGATCAGTATTAATGTTTGTAACTTTTAAAAATGAATTTTTAACATCCATTAAGCATTCAATGGTTGTGTCCCTACTTACCAAAACACTGCTAGAGCCTACAGAGCCTACTGCACCTACTTACCTCTGAGTTTGAAGAATTTCAGATGGTTGGCCAGAGCTTGCTCACTAGTCTCATCTGGGCAAATTTTAACTCCACTAGAGAACAGGATAGATCTCTTTCTTCGAAGCAACACACGCCGGTTGTGTTGTGCCTTTTCCATGAATTCAGTACGTTGTGTGGATTCAGGAGACAGGGAAGGGTTTACTAATCGCCAACCATTGGGTTGAGTTGTTGGTGTAGTATCTTTAGCCTTGATTTCCTCTGCAGCTGAGTAAGGTTCTGCTGTAAAATCAAACCACACAAAAGTCTCAGATGATGCAGTTACATCATTCTCTGTACCCAAACACTACTGCCCTGGCTCTCTGGGCAGTACAGTGATAGTTGACAACCTGCAGTCCTTGAGTTGGACAAACTTTGAATTGACTTCAGTGGGAGTTTTAACTAAGAACCATAGAATTTGACCAAAAGGGATTAGGTTTTTCATTACTGTCATTTTAAAAGGGCCCAGTTCTTCTCTCAGATGCACTGGTGCAAGTGGGCAGGGTAGCAAAGATCTATTTATCATAAGAAAGGTGTTGGGATTTCCCCTGCTCCTCTGAATTTACCTTACCGTGTGTTATCAAGGGAATGTATGCCTTCCAGCTACATTTTCATTGGTCTGGTTCATCATGCAATTATTTTCACATGATCACTTGGCTAAAGTTTAAATCAATGAGCTCAATGGTTTTACCTCCAGAGGGAGTGGACTCAAAAAAAAATAGCTTATGAATTTGTATTTAAATGTGACCAAGTACTCCATTTATACACAATACAAGCAGCAGCGTAAGTCCATAGCAGCTAAAAGTTCCCCCGCATTGCTGCTCCAACATACCTCAATCCTCACCTGGAGAGACCACTTCTAGAGATATGGAGGGAGTTTTGTCTTTACGGCCCATTCAGGGCTTTGGCCTCTTTTATGTCATTGCCAGTTAAGGTCTACATCTAGTTCCAAATAGGTAGGTATCCTTTAAAAAGCTACCACTAGAGTTGGCAAGCTTTTTGTGCTGCGTGGTTTTCTAACATGCTGCAAGTCATCTACCCCCAAAATTCTGTCCTGGTGACGGCTGATTAGTCTTTATTTTACATAATTTTAACTTCCTTACAAAATCCTGATAATGAACTATCAGCATTATCGCCCTGATCCTGCAAACATCATGTACATGTTTAACCTTATCTGAGTTAGCCCGACGAAGTCAGCAGAATGATCCCAAGACAACTGACATGCACGTAAGGACTTGCTGAATCAGGACCTAAATAAGGGAAGAGTACAATTAAGGTAAGGGATGGAGATGTTCCCTGTATTGCATGCTTCCTTTCTAAGCAACTCTTGTTTCATTTTCATTTCTCTGAACTGAATTGTGAAGTCTGCCAACAATCAGCTATTATATCGCCTTCCCTTAAGTAGTCCGCCAGCACATGGCACAGTAAAGAAAGAAAAAGATGATTCTAAAGGCATTAACTTGTTTTATTTTTATCTTCAATTAGTCCCCCACACACTCCATCAAAAATACCAAAACTTCCTGCATGCTGGGAGAGACCCATCTAGCAGTAAACATAGTCAGCATAGTCAGTCTCTGTCATACAGTCAGATAACCCCAAAACATCAAATTCTATCATTTCAAGGGAATATCATTAGCAAACAAAATGAGATGGAGGAAGAATAGTACGGGATCAGAAGTATTCACCACAGCAACAGTGGTGATAGAGATACAGAACCTTTCATGCCCAAGTGCAGTGAACTCTGCCCCATTGAAATGAACAGGAACGTTGTTTAATTCAATGAACCTAGGTGTAAACCCTATGTACTGTACATACCTACCAAAATTCAGCCTCCTCTGGGGTGGAAACCAAAAGCCAGATTGTGCACAACCATCAGAAGAAAAATAAAATGTTGGCTAGCTTTCCTGGGTAAACCCCTATTCTTTCTAAAGTACAATCTCTTATAATTCATACAATGCTGCAGGATCTCTGATATTAAGACTTTTCACTGTTAAGTAATCAAGAAAAAGCAACATAAAAAAATGCTTTTATTGGTATTGCATTCTGGTCAAAACTTGGAAAGGGTCACATATCAAAATTCAACAACCTGTAACTATATCTACTTAATTTACCACAATGTAAATCTAGAGTAACTGCATGGAAACCAGTGAAATTACTTCTGATTTACCCAAGTATTACAGAGCAGACCTGGTCAATATTATAGTACTTCCATTCATCTTACTTAAACTAAAGTTCATATAGTGTTATCATTAAGGCATTAAAACAAGGACATGAGAAAGAAGATAAGAGTTGCATTACCTGTAAATACTTGAAGATCACCTTCAATCAACACAAAAATGAAGATACCCAGATGGATTTTCCAGGGAAAATTCAGCATATTTATTATCATTAAAAAACAAAGACAAGGGGGGGAAAAAATCCCTTTTTAGCAGTCAGTTGCTTTAAATGTGTTACTGAAACACCCAAGAGCATTCCCTTCTCAAAAATGTACTGACGTCACAGGTAATTGTCTTTGATAAAAGGATTAGTATTATTAAACCGCAATAGAAATCAGTCAAAATGTCTCAGATGATTTTCTTTCCAAAGCTAGTGTAGTATTCCACTTCATTGCAGAAATAACAAACTGTGTTGAAAGCAAGCTCCTTGGAGTTAGCAGATGGATTGAGGAGACAATTTTTTAGTTTTAATCTGGCCAGCTAAGCTCTTTACCGGAGCTCGTCATGTGGTTAGCAAGGACAATACCTTTCACACTTAATTAAGCACATTTTTCATTGGCTCTTCAATTTCCTTTTTTTTTTTTCCCCACATGCTAGCCAAACATCATCCATTCATATTAAGATCAGTTTCTCAGTGGAAGGTCTTCATCATCAACACCTTTGCCATATGTATTAGTTACAAATATTTGGGAAGATTTAAAAGAACGTGCTGATTGACTTAGATCTTGACTCTTCCCCCTTCCCATAGGTAGCAATGTCTCTACTCACTTGTTTCTTCAGGTGACAGAGCTGGCAAAGTACTGCTACATCAGATAATCACAATGTACAGACCTTACTCTATAATACCCCTGTCCTTAGCATAACAGAAAGGCTGCTCACTCCCAGATTATCCCATCCATTTTTAAATATTAACAAATGCATACTATAAACAAGGCATCGTACTGACACCAATTCTTAACAACTCTTTGCTTAAAAAGTAAGCAACTTTAAAATGTAACAAGGAGAGAGTACAGTAAACTGGAGTGCTGTTGCAGCATGCTGTGATGGGAGAGGAGTCCTGCAACAGAAGCCACCTTATTTTCTGGGAGAAATTTGTCATGGAGTGTGAGGACTTACTAAATGGGCAAGACATCATCACCAATCCAAGTGTCCTGACCACAACATCAATTATTCCTAACACATAAGCTCTCAATCTGTGGTCTGTGGAGCACTTGCTCATGGTCCAGAGAGAATTGGCTGGTCCCACTGTGCTGATTTTCCTTGTTTACAGCATCTCACCTGCATTCAAGACACTAAAAAGACATTACACGGGTTCCAAATGTTATTTTTTCATATAAGGAAATGGCTGCGATTTGTCACAAGGATGTTACACAATCCTGAATGGAAGATCATCTGCATAATCACAAATGGGAAGAGAATTGGCCATAAGAGAATCTCACTGATATGACAGTCCACATTATGACCAAATTTTGAGAAACTATATCCTAAAACCATATTATAAAAGGCAAAAAGGGCCCAAGAACCTGCATATGGGGAGGGGAAAAATCAATAATTTAAGGGTTTGACCACCAAAGAAAATCAGTGACAAAGATGTTTAGAAAAGTAAGTTTATGAGGGGAAAAAATTCCACACCCTAAACATGTACTGGTGGACCAAATAACTGAATAACAGCAGGATGCTGGTTTCCCTCCTATGAGTATTTATGTACAGGCAATCCCCGGGTTACATGGATCCGACTTACATCGGCTCCCTACTTACAAACGGGGTGAGGCAATCCCGCACTAGCTGCTTCCCCCCAGCAGACCAGGGAGACGCGAAGCTAGCGCTCCTCCCCCCCCCCAGCAGACCAGGGGGACGCGGAGCGGCTTTTCTCAGCAGACACCTCAGCTTGAGAATAAAGGACTGAGGGAAGTGAGGTGTGGGAGAATAAAACTGAGCTCTGGAGAAATGTTTGGCTAGAGTTTCCCCTACAATATGTACCAGTTCCGACTTACATACAAATTCAACTTAAGAACAAACCTACAGTCCCTATCTTGTACGTAAACCAGGGACTGCCTGTACTTCAAGAAAAAGGAACAATTGCTTTGAGCAGTAGAAGGAGTTATTTCTAGAAGCAATAGGGTTAAAATCAAGTAAAGGAAAATGTAGGCTAAACATAAGAAACATTTCCCAATACAGAGATTTGTTCAGCTGTGGAACGGTCTTCCAAAGACCTGGAAACCCTGGACAAAAATGAGATGGGACAGAGTATCTGGTACAGGCCATTGTCAAGAATATAGCAGACTAAATGGACCGTTGATCTGACTGGGTATGTCAATCTTAGGTTCTGTGATAGCTTCTTGCACAGTTGCCAATTTAGCTGAACTGAGGACAGAGATCTGTATTTCCCAAAAATTACTTTCCGTTCCAACATTTCTTGGGCTTCCACTAGCATTGGTGTGGTTATTAAACTTGGCCAAAGATGGGGAGACATTACCACACTGGGTTAATTAAATGGTGCCTACTAGGGATATGTTATTTTTAATCAGCATAGAGTGATTTTTGACCCATGTGAAAGTTAGGCTATTGTACAGTGAGTTCTTATAGGTCAAAACATCACTTTTGCTTTTAAGTAGGCTGTGCACATGAAAGCTCATGATACCATCTACATGTTTTGTTAGTCTATAAAGTGCTACCAGACCATTTATTGTTTTGTTCTACTAAGTAACAAATATCATGATATTACAAAGCAGTGATTTTCTTTGAATCTTCCTTTAAAATCTCATTGATTTGAAAATTTCCAACTATAGATTCTTGAGGATTTTAGACATTTTGTCTTTTCTGACAACACTGCTGTTTGTTGGCGCCCATAAAAATCTCATCTATATAAAAAATGTTCCCACTATCTACCATTGTGCAGTTGGCCCTAGACTACAAATGCTAACAGACACAGGCTCAGGTATTTATCGCCACAAAACCTTGTCCGAACACATTTTTACGACAACAGAAAAATGTGCCCACATTAGAGCTTGCACTCTTGCTGGAAAACAAGTACAATATTTTCTAGCAGAAATACAACAGTGAAGACTAATTCTGAGTGATGTTGAGCAGGTACTCGGGAGTTGGATAGTATGAAGCTTGACTACCTTTTGCTATCACCTACCTTCACATTTCTGATGGCCATTTCTGTGTCTACGCTACAGAGAAGTCAGGAAAAGATATGCAAATTGCAATTTTTTCCCCCATGAAAGAGGCTTTTCCAAAATTTGGCCCGTCTACACAAATTTTGGAAAAAAATCCTCCTCTTTCGGAACATCTCTTATTCCTCTCACTGAGAGGAATACAGGGATGCCGAAAGAACATGTCTGCTTTTTCGGAAACTGTTCCGAAAAAGTGGACTCATTCCTTGGATACAGCAGATATCTCCGGTAACCTGGAAAAACTGCAGTCTAGACATAGCCACTTTTCTAATGTGGGCAGTATAGACATAGCCACTTTTCTAACGTGGGCACAAAAGCCTTTCAAACATGACTATCGTAACACTAGCTCATGTCAGCAACTTCATCAGGGATACGTTGAGGATTTGCCCTTAAGCAGTTATGACAGTAAAATGCACTATTTAGAATGTACTGTACCATACATCGTTTTAAAATATCTTAAAAAATGCAAACCAACTAAAAAGTTGTCAAAAAACTCTTGTGATAAAAAAACTTGCCGTCTCTTGATTCAAATGAACACATGCCTCCAGTACCTACAACTTAAAGTAAATTTCTGCATTTTAAAACAAGCTACAGGCAGTCCCCGGGTTACGTACAAGATAGGGACTGTAGGTTTGTTCTTAAGTTGAATCTGTATGTAAGTCGGAACTGGCGTCCAGATTCAGCCGCTGCTGAAACTGACCGCCAGTTCTGA